TAAATTAGTGATAAAACTATTATTTCTTTAAATTTATTCATATTAATTAAATTTAAAACTCAACACACTCATTATGTGAGCTTTTCTCCCATTACCCAAAGAATGATTGAAGGGCGACTCCAAATTTTAGGGTTAATAAGCCAAAGCTCATGCCTATAAGTAAACCTTAAAGATAAATCATCGGAATCAAGCCCACTGAGTACTCCGAATAAGAAACCGTATAAAACTCTATGTAAATAACATTCTAATAAATTCATTTGAATTTGTTATTTATTAAGCTCATTTAACCAATTACTAAAGCAAATACCAAAAGTTTGATGTTGTTGAGTGACTAATCCTTGCTGTTCATATTCTGAACGATGTTGCGGCTCTTAATTATAATTAAGCACCGAAAAATTGGACTCTATGAGCTCCAAGATTGGGCAAATTGGGCTCAATCTTTTAGGAAAATTAGTCTACATCGTAAATTTTCGGCCGATTGAGAAAAAGGATTTGTGGCATTAATATTTTAGGCGAGGTGAATTCTGGGCTGAGAATTTACTTGTTAGTAATTTTGGGCCCATGGAAATCGCATCCCTAAACAATACACATTATATATGAGAAATGAGCTTTATGATCAACAATATCTGTAGATCATTTGATCAAATTTTCGTAATTATATTTTTACCTTCAAGTTCTACATCATTGTAACTGATAGAGCGTTGTTCAAGTGTGTTATACCCTTAAAATGTAATAAGCCTTCTAAATAGTTTTAATATAATTTTTTCTGGAATATATATATGTTTTAAATTTCTCAATATTTCCCCGTAAAAAATTTTTTCTGATAAAGTCACATCGCTGACTTCAGGACGATTGTCGCGGAAAAGTATAATCGGTATAACGGTAAAGTGATTGTACTTATAGCTTATACATTTTGTACTTATAGCTAAAGAATTTTTCGGATAAGGAATTTTGTTATGCTAAATATCTTTTAAATATTGTAAAATAACAAAATTAAAATGTTTACGGATAACTGCAGTTTTATGATCAGATGAATTCAAATGCTTTTTAATATTTCTCATGTCAGGAGTAAGAACCACAAAGTTAAAGCCATTTACTCTACACGCCTCACATTCATAACAAAAAGCTACATTATTTGGGATAAATAGATTCTCCGGGTCTAACGTTTTGATTTTATCTGATTTGTTTTTGATTCCAATAAATCTTGATTCTAATTCTTCCTTTTCTGTAAATTTTAATTTTATAATCAAAAATGGATTTTTGGTAAAATTCCACAAATTTTTTGCCGAGTTCCGGAAAATATTGTAGAAATAAAACTAAAAATATATATGGGTTTCCCGGTAAAAATTCGGGTAGATTACAACCAAAAACATAATTTCTTTCACGGGCCATTAGTTTTCATGAATTTTTATGATTGCTGTTAAGTAAATGAAATTCTGTGACGAATTTATTAATTATATAATATGTAATGAACTTATTTATCGCTACTTTTTTTATCATTAGTTATTTTTGTTATTCTTTCATCCAAATTTTTATGCGCACTGTTATGGGCATTAAAATTGCGTATTTGTCCAAACAAAAACTTAAACAACAAATATTTTAAATTTTAATTTTTATTAAATTACATATCTCCTGCAACGATTACAACCAACATATATCTTTTTATCTTTGATTAATTCAGCCAGATGATAATTCTTCAAGCCTTCTTCAACGCCTTCAATCCAATTATAACGATCTAGTTATTTTTTCATTATTAATTTAAAAAATATTTAAATTATGTAACGGATTTTAAATGAGTGATGAAGAAAATAAGATTTTGAATACATATTTTTAATAACTTACAAGCTTTTGCTTTATTGGAATCTTTCGGACTTTCTTTAGGAATTATTTTCATTTGCACTTTACTGTTATGTAATTGCATAGGCTGAGGAATATTGTAAAAAAAGGGATTATTAGAATTTAAATTTTCCATTTCGTGAAAAGGAACGTTTTCTGAAGCTAAAGGCTCCGCTGCTCCATGAACATTTGGGTCAGTAGAATCAGTTCCGGCAATGTTAGTTTGTTCTGTTTCAGTTCCACTTGATTCTGGCTCTCGGCATTGAAATGGATTGAATCTGCCTCTTTTTGATGAACTTCCAATTATTGATTCGATTTCAGTCATTGAAATTAATAAAAGAAAAATAATGGTTGAAATTTCCATTATTTTTTCTGGAAATATTTTTATTATAAAATATATTAAAGACTATTTTTTACTCTCGTTTTATTAATTCTTTATCTCTAATCTTCACGTATATTTAGAATAATTCAGCCTTAGACCTTTGAATCTTAAATAGCCCGTCCCTGATCGTCAAGTTTGGCCATCTTTTACACTAAATTGAATCTTAATTCAATTTAAAATTAATTCTACATCTTTCTACTTTCAATCAGTATCGCCTAGAACATAAAATTTTAAAAATCCCTTTACTTATGGTTTCCTGGATTGAATCCTGAGAGGAAATTTTTATAAAGTATCACAACTTTTTTATTATCTCTAATTGAATGGCTTTCCAAGTGAATTTTCGTATATTGACCCTTGGAGGATACTTGAAAAATAGAATAGCCGGCTATTCAATAAGAGGCTTCTTAAAAATGTGGGCTAAATTATAAAATATTTAATAAGTAAAATGGAGGTAAATATAAATTAATTTATTTTATTTATTGCTATGACTAAAATTTATTATATATTAAAGCTTTCCCCTCATCTTCGCCGCATTGTATCCATTCAATAATCAATTATTAAAAAAATACAAAGTAAGCTATTACTGTAAAATAAAATAAAATCACGAGTAAAAGGGAAGGATGACTTTAGAAAAATACGAAATTTCGTCTTTAGCACTCTATGAGATTTTGATTTCGTACTCTTATCTAATACAGTGTGTTAGCCTGTATTTCATAACCCTTCTTTGTAGTTGTTTTTCTTTGTAAACATATTTTTAAACAGGTTCGAGTATCGATATAGTAAATGCTTTGAAAGACTTTTAAAAAAAGACAGAGATACCTACAACCTTTATTTTCTATTGTATTTTGTGTGCGATGAGCTTTGTGTACATTCCCGTCTACTTTGGCAAACTCCGAACACAACAGTTTTTGTAAAATGTTGGCAAATTTTCTTCTAAATTTATAACAAGAGGACTAGTAGTCTAGTAGATCTAAGTCTAGTAGATGGAAATAGATTGTTGGTTTTTTTAACAAAAAATTTTTTTATAAGTTCAAAAATATTTGCAGCTATGTTCCACAGGAATTCTTGAAATTGAAACATATTTAAATTCTGAGAAGCTTAACAGTTTACGAAGTAAGGCAATTACAAAGAAGGGTTATGAAATACAGGCTAAGACACTTGTATTAAGTAAGAGTACGAAATCGAATCTCAAAGAGTGCTAAATACGAAATTTCGTACTTTTCTAAGGTCATCCCTTCCTTTTACTCGTGATTTTATTTTATTTTACTGTAATAGCTTACCTAGTTTGGATTTTTGAATAATTGATTATTGAATGGATACAATGCGGCGAAGATGAGGGGAGAGCTTTATCTTTTAGTGCTCACTTAAAGCTTTACCATAGCAATAAATACAATTATTTATTTTTACCTCCATTTTACATACTTATTAAATATTTTATATGGCCTGCTATTCCATTATTCATTTAGCCTATAAGTCCCAATATACGAGGGTTTTATTCACATGGAAGTGTCATTCTATAAGAGATAATACGGCAGTTTAAGTTTTGAGCTTTTTATTGAAATTCTCTCTTAAGATTCAACCAAGGAGAACGAAAAGGGAAGGGATTTGAATAAAATTTATGTTCTAGGGGATTCTGATTGAAAGTAGAAAAATGTAGAATTAAATTTAAATTAATTTGTGATTAATTATTAGTCTAATGTAGGATTAGGGCTTCAAAGCTGTGTGATTCAAAAGTAGTGTTCTTAGTGTCATGTCGGCGACGCCTCTTCCCGGGTAACCTTGCTTTTGAATTTATTCTACGGGTCCAGATAAAAATGTCCTCAAAAAACTCCTTAACACCCTCAACTTGACTCTATTTCCATGTTGCACACAACTAGTCAATAAATAATTAATTAACTGTTATAATTTGACATAAGAAGATGAAAGAAATGAGGAGAAAGATCCTTTCATAAAATAGTAAGGTGTCGGTTCTTGAGATGTCGGTACTTGAGATGTCGGTTCTCTATTTACCTCATTTATTCCTAAAATGATCTAATTGAATGGCCTCCTCAGAGGTTCTGAAAGGATTAATAAATTTTTGAAAATTAGTAATGAGTCCCCTTTTTAAGTTTCCCCCTTGGGTGGGGACTCAACCGGCGGTACTAACTGGCCATTAATCCATGCTCTCAATAATGAAATCAATCAATAAATTTTTTTAAAATATTTTCTCAAAAATTATTCTTTAATGAAGGCAAACGTTTAGCAAACGGCATAAATTGTAATAATTATATAATTATAATATTAGTAATTGTTTACTTTTTACATCTTTAGATATTTCTGCCATTCTTTTATCCAATTTATTATGTGTATTGTTATGGCCATTAAAATTATCTTTCTGCTCAAACCAAAACTTAAACATAAAAATAATTTAAATTTTAAATATTTTATTAAATTACATATTTCTTGCAACGATTACAACCAACATATATCTTTTTATCTTTCATTACTTCAGCCAGATGATAATTATTCAAACCATTCTCTAATTTTTCGAACCAATTATAACGATCTAGTTAATTTTTAATAGAAATTTAAAAAAATATTTAATTATGTATCGGATTTAAATTAGTGATGTAAATCAGGGGTGTGCCGAAACGGATTTTAAAGAGCCTCGCTTCGAAAAATTTCCGTAGAATATAAGTGGAATTTTGGTGGATTTTCGGTTTAAGATTATGGTAGATTAAGAGGGATACCTAAGTATTTGGGTAAATTCCGAAGGATATGCAGGATTTAAGTGATTTAGGATCTAGAGGAATATCGAGAGAATATTTTGAAAACATATTTTTAATAACTTACAGGCTTTTGATATATTGAAATCTTTTGGACCTTCATTAGGAATTATTTTCATATGCACTTTGCTGTTATGTGATAGCATATGCTGATGAATATTGTAAAAAAAGGGATTTTTAGAATAAATATTTTCCATTTCGTGAAAATGAACGTTTTCTGAAGCTAACGGCTCTGCTCCTTCTTGAACATTAGGGCCACTTGAGCCAGTTCCACCGATGTATATTGGTTCTGTTTCGGTCCCACTTGATTCTACCTCTCGGTATTGCTTGGGATTAAATTTGCCTCTTTTTGACGAACTTCCTTTTCTTTCTCTTCCCGACCCACTTAGTGGCGTTACAAATAAATATAGAAAAATAACGGTCGAAATTTTCATTATTTTTCTAGAAATATCTTTATGTATATAAATTATATAAAAAACTATTTCGTTCAGGGCTGCACGCAATTGAAAAAAAGATTCCGCAACTCGCAATCCACAATTTTTAAAAATGGAGATAAAAAATTTAATCACTTCAAACTATAGTTAGGAAGGATTGCGGGATATTAGAAGATTTGGAGGATTAAGTAAAAGCAAGTTCATGATTACCGTTTTCTTCTAATTACTCTTAATACATCCAGATTCCTAGAATCAAATCACCGATATACCTTTATAACTCTTGCTACATTGAAATCCGCCAATATCACTCCATATCCCCATTAATCCATGCTTACTTTCAAAAAAACTCCAAATTCCCAGATATCCAATAACAATGATCGAAGAATTTTTTCCGTTTTCAGCGCCGTAGGCAAAAATTTTAAAAATTTTGGAAGATTTTTAAGCCAAAAACTTCCAATGATGAAATTGCTTTTGTAATTAAATTTAGTTGATTTGAAGAATAAAGTTAACCTTATAATTGAAAATCCTATTGCCTATTTTCAAAAATAATTTGAAAAATAGAACCCTACGCGAAATTAGTGCCCCACGCTTAATATATCCCCACTTTGGAGTAAAATTAAAAAGTAGAGCCTCATAGGACATAGTACAAAAAATATATATTTTAGAATTGTACTAGTTATTTATTTCTAGATATTATTTTTGTTTTATATTAATAAAATTTAAAAGGCTACAGTTTTTTGAGAAGTTTTTGATTTTAGAATTTCTGATTTCAAATATTTTAGATATTTATTATTATTTAAAAAATAAAAAGAATAAATAAATTTTATTAATAATGTAAAATTTATAAAAATTTTTTAAATATTTAAATGAGCATTTAACAGTAAATCGGTGTTTTATAAATTCCTCGATTATGGGCGTATGATTAAGTATGGGCAGGAAAAAATTTAGAAAGTTATTAAATTTTGTCGAGAGCGAGGAGGGAATTGAGAATATTAATTGATTGAGAATGTAGAGTCGATGTCGAAATAAATAAGAATCCTATATTAAATTTGAGAATGCTCTGTTTGTTTGTCCGCAGCTTTGAATTTTGCTGTGTTTGGCGTTGTGTTTAATTTTTATTTAAAAATGACAAAATATCCCAAAATAAAAATAGTGTGGTTGGAATAATGGTGAGCAAAAAGGGTCCCGTAACTGGGCGAGGGTCCCGTAACTGGGTAAAAAGGGTCTGGAAATGTTTGGAATAATGGTGAACAAAAAGGGTCCCGTAACTGGGCGAGGGTCCCGTAACTGGGTGAGGGTCCCGTGACTGGGTGATAAGGGTCTGGAGATGATTGGAATAATGGTGAGCAAAAAGGGTCCCGTAACTAGGTGAGGGTCCCGTAGCTGGGTGAAAAGAGTCTGTAAATGGTTGAAATGATGATGAGCGTAAAGGGTCCCGTAAATTGGTGGTCAGGATCAGCCGATGGTTGGAATAACTGAAAGCGAGAATGGTCCCGTAAATGGGTAAAAAGGATCCGGAAATGGTTGGAATAATGGTGAGCAAAAAGGGTCCCGTAACTGGGCGAGGGTCCCGTAACTGTGTAAAAAGGGTCTGGAAATGTTTGGAATAATGGTGAACAAAAAGGGTCCCGTAACTGGGCGAGGGTCCCGTAACTGGGTGAGGGTCCCGTGACTGGGTGATAAGGGTCTGGAGATGATTGGAATAATGGTGAGCAAAAAGGGTCCCGTAACTAGGTGAGGGTCCCGTAGCTGGGTGAAAAGAGTCTGTAAATGGTTGAAATGATGGTGAGCGTAAAGGGTCCCGTAAATTGGTGGTCAGGATCAGCCGATGGTTGGAATAACTGAAAGCGAGAATGGTCCCGTAAATGGGTAAAAAGGATCCGGAAATGGTTGGAATAATGGTGAGCAAAAAGGGTCCCGAACTGGGTGAGGGTCCCGTAACTGGGTGAAAAGGGTCTGGAAATGTTTGGAATAATGGTGAACAAAAAGGGTCCCGTAACTGGGCGAGGGTCCCGTAACTAGGTGAGGGTCCGGTAGATGGGTGAAAAGAGTCTGTAAATGGTTGAAATGATGGTGAGCGTAAAGGGTCCCGTAAATTGGTGGTCAGGGGTAAAAACTGGGTAAAAAGGGTCTGAAATGGTTGAAATAATGGTGAGCAAAAAGGGTCCCGAACTGGGTGAGGGTCCCGTAACTGGGTGAAAAGGGTCTGGAAATGGTTGGAATACTGGTAAGCGAAAATGGTCTCGTAAACGGGTGAAAAGGGTCGACAATAGTGGGAAGTAGAGATTTCGAGCAACAAGCAAGAGACAATTGTTGTCAAATGGCTTGAGAAAACTATTAACTAAGATTTTCAACCATTAACTATTAATATCTATGTCAACTATTAACTATCAGCTAAGATTTTCAACTTTCACTATTAACTATTAATATCTATTTCAACTATTAACTATCAATTTTCAACTATTAATAAAGATTCAACTATTAACTAAAATTTTCAACTTTCACTATTAACTATTAATATCTATTTTTCTACTATTATCTATCAATTTTCAACTATCAATTTTCAATTATCTTTTAATAATGATTCAACTATTAACTATCATTCTTCAACTATTAACTATTAACAATGATTCAACTATTAACTAATATTTTGAACTTTCAATTATTAATATCTATGTCAACTATTAACTAAGATTTTCAAGTTTCACTATTACATGTGTCCTAAAAATTCTTTTTCCGGATCCTTTTTACCCATTTACGGGACCATTCTCGCTTTCAGTTATTCCAACCATCGGCTGATCCTGACCACCAATTTACGGGACCCTTTACGCTCATCATCATTTCAACCATTTACAGACTCTTTTCACCCAGCTACGGGACCCTCACCTAGTTACGGGACCCTTTTTGCTCACCATTATTCCAATCATCTCCAGACCCTTATCACCCAGTCACGGGACCCTCACCCAGTTACGGGACCCTCGCCCAGTTACGGGACCCTTTTTGTTCACCATTATTCCAAACATTTCCAGACCCTTTTTACCCAGTTACGGGACCCTCGCCCAGTTACGGGACCCTTTTTGCTCACCATTATTCCAACCACACTATTTTTATTTTGGGATATTTTGTCATTTTTAGATAAAAATTAAACACAACGCCAAACACAGCAAAATTCAAAGCTGCGGACAAACAAACAGAGCATTCTCAAATTTAATATAGGATTCTTATTTATTTCGACATCGACTCTACATTCTCAATCAATTAATATTCTCAATTCCCTCCTCGCTCTCGACAAAATTTAATAACTTTCTAAATTTTTTCCTGCCCATACTTAATCATACGCCCATAATCGAGGAATTTATAAAACACCGATTTACTGTTAAATGCTCATTTAAATATTTAAAAAATTTTTATAAATTTTACATTATTAATAAAATTTATTTATTCTTTTTATTTTTTAAATAATAATAAATATCTAAAATATTTGAAATCAGAAATTCTAAAATCAAAAACTTCTCAAAAAACTGTAGCCTTTTAAATTTTATTAATATAAAACAAAAATAATATCTAGAAATAAATAACTAGTACAATTCTAAAATATATATTTTTTGTACTATGTCCTATGAGGCTCTACTTTTTAATTTTACTCCAAAGTGGGGATATATTAAGCGTGGGGCACTAATTTCGCGTAGGGTTCTATTTTTCAAATTACTTTTGAAAATAGGCAATAGGATTTTCAATTATAAGGTTAACTTTATTCTTCAAATCAACTAAATTTAATTACAAAAGCAATTTCATCATTGGAAGTTTTTGGCTTAAAAATCTTCCAAAATTTTTAAAATTTTTGCTTACGGCGCTGAAAACGGAAGAAATTCTTCGATCATGGTTATTGGATATCTGGGAATTTGGAGTTTTTTTGAAAGTAAGCATGGATTAATGGGGATATGGAGTGATATTGGCGGATTTCAATGTAGCAAGAGTTATAAAGGTATATCGGTGATTTGATTCTAGGAATCTGGAGGTATTAAGGGTAATTAGAAGAAAACGGTGATCATGAACTTGCTTTTACTTAATCCTCCAAATCCCCTAATATCCCGCAATCCTTCCTAACTATAGTTTGAAGTGATTAAATTTTTTATTTCCATTTTTAAAAATTGTGGATTGCGAGTGCGTGAATCTTTTTTTCAATTGAGTTGCTGAATCTTTTTTTCAATTGCGTGCAGCCCTGAACGAAATAGTTTTTTATATAATTTATATACATACAGATATTTCTAGAAAAATAATGAAAATTTCGACCGTTATTTTTCTATATTTATTTGTAGCGCCACTAAGTGGGTCGGGAAGAGAAAGAAAAGGAAGTTCGTCAAAAAGAGGCAAATTAAATCCCTATCATTACCGAGAGGTAGAATCAAGTGGGACCGAAACAGAACCAACATACATCGGTGGAACTGGCTCAAGTGGCCCTAATGTTCAAGAAGGAGCAGAGCCGTTAGCTTCAGAAAACTTTCCTTTTCACGAAATGGAAACTATTTCTTCTAAAAATCCCTTTTTTTACAATATTCATCAGCATATGCTATCACATAACAGCAAAGTGCATATGAAAATAATTCCTAATGAATGTCCAAAAGACTTCAATATATCAAAAGCCTGTAAGTTATTAAAAATATGTTTTCAAAATATTCTCTCGATATTCCCCTAGATCCTAAATCACTTAAATCCTGCATATCCTTCGGAATTTACCCAAATACTTAGGTATCCCTCTTAATCTACCATAATCTTAAACCGAAAATCCACCAAAATTCCACTTATATTCTACGGAAATTTTTCGAAGCGAAGCTCTTTAAAATCCGTTTCGGCACACCCTTGATTTACATCACTAATTTAAATCCGATACATAATTTAAATATTTTTTTAAATTTCTATTAAAAATTAACTAGATCGTTATAATTGGTTCGAAAAATTAGAGAATGGTTTGAATAATTATCATCTGGCTGAACGAATGG